CAAGAAATTCTAATGATTGCAAAAATCTTCACAATAATAAAAAAAATTACTAACTATATAATTTTAATTGATGATAATTTTTAATAACATAGAATTTTTAAAAATATTAGAAATTAATACTCAATAGTTGAATTTTGATATTATATTTTGATATTATCAAGAAATTTCTAATAATTACAAATTTTCAAAAGATAATAAAATTCAACTAAATGGTATTGATTAATGATATTTTTAAATTGTATGCTATTAAAAATTATCGTTAATCAAAATTATAGTTAGTATTTTTCTTTATTGTGAACATTTGCAGTCATTAGAATTTCTTGATAATATCATAAAAGTAGTGCTGGCAAAAAGGAATCTATATATTTTCAGGGTCTAAAGCGGGTCAACGGAGGGTTTTAACTAAACCCTACTTTGAAGCTTTAGCAGGAAAAAAGGAAATTTCAGACATATTGTAGCGCCAAAATAGGTGCTATTATATACATACGATACAATGCATAACATCTACTTTGACTCTCTTATGCCTACCTCAAAATAAAAGATTAAGGTTCAATATAGGTGCTAAATTTCGACTCGGGATTTTACTACTATTTTAATGCTGAATTTACACACACACATATATATATATATATAGTGAATAATAATTCGAACTTTGAGCCAAGACTTTCTTCATATGCAATGCCTGGGTGTATACGCAAAATAAATCGATATAAATCTGATTATTAATTCATTCACACAACGTTGCCGGTTTTTGCGTAGGTGAAAAAAAATTGTACATTGTAATACATATTTAATGCCTTTCTGCGTTGCAGAAACAAGAACTGTGCAACAAATTAAACGAATTGAGGCAAAATCAGAATAGGGACAGTGCGAAAATAGTCGAAAAATGTAATGAAATGAGATCAGCCGCACGTGAGGCTTTCAATTCGATGATGGATGAGAAACGCAAGAGAGGCATCAACTACATTTACAGATCGAATTTACGTACAACGATTACGTACAACGTGAAATAATAAAAATGATGTGTAAGCTGCCGAAATCATGAAGGAATCGCGCCAATTGAAATTAACACTGGCTAATCAAAAGCAAGAAGATTCGAAGCGCAGCGAAAAATTTATTTGATTCAAGAAATCAAACGGATGCAAACGACTCGATCGAAAGAAAAAAAAAGAAAGAAAAAAAATAATGAAAGGAAAACAGCAAAAGTATTTAATTATAATTCATGAGATCCAGAATATTCTTTTATTATATAAATGGAATTATTCAAACATCTAATTATACAATTTGGTTCTCTCGTATAAAAATTCTATATTTTACTGATATTTTCTTATTTATTGATTTAAAATTAATTTGATCATGTGTAATATATATAAAAATATGTAAAATACATCAAAATAAATAATGTAACATCAGTTGCTTAATTATTTTAGATATATTAAATTATCTGTGTTTTATTATTATAATAAAATTCTCAAGGTAAGTAAACATAATTTTTGTGAATAAATCAAATTTTTGCCAGAAAATGTTAGTAAAAAATAATACATTACAGACGAACTAATCTTAAATTAGCACTTTTGAAATATAGATATTGCTGTGCTCATGTGCTGACTGCACTTATACAAAATTTTTTTACATGAAGTGATTAATTATATCTATTTTAAGTAATATCAATAATTTATTAACTTTAACAATAAAATTAGTATACAAAATAAATTTTACAAGTTTGTGTTACTGAATTATTGAAGCCAACAGATGCGAAGCATGCTCCACAGCGTTCCCTATCAAAATATTTTCATTTTGCCTAGGAATGTTTTTCACATTTTTTTCTTACAACACTCTTAAGTCGAAATTCAAGCTTAGTCAGTTTCGATATTAGCAGTGTCAGTTGCTTTTAATCTCAGTAGGGGCCATAAATCATTTTTAATATTACACAAAAATAAAGATACGGATATATGTAGAAGCCATAAGAAAAGAACAAGGTAAAAGATGCACATACAATGAGATTGTAACATATTGAAGAAAATAGAAGCATTATTCATAACATTTTAATGTATATTCTATAGAATGGAACTATCTAGGAACGATATAACATTCAACTTGGATTTCAATATTGGACGTTTAGTTTTAAGGGCACTAAAAGCTACACCGAATTTTGTTGGTCAGGTAATAAGTTTTTATTAATAAAATTTTATCTGTTATAATATGAAAAAATGAAGGAGTTATTTGTTAGTTAACAATGCCGAATTATGCGATCTTATTAAACAATACGTACAGTATGATTTGATAGTAGCGTGATTGATACGTCTCGTAGGTGGAATATGAAACGGGTAGACAAAGTACATTTCAGGAGATGAGAGAGAAAAGTGTGACGTGTGCATTATGGTTAAAGAAACAAGATATTAAACCTAATGACATAGTAGCGATATGCACGAATAACTATTTCGATGCCTACATACCGTTTCTAGCGTGTTTGTATTTAAGTGTAATTGCAAATCCGTGGGATACATATCTCACGATAATAGAAGGTAAGTGAAAGATAAATTAAAATTTTATTAAATAATTGTAAAAGTAATTTATTTTTACAGTTACTTATTTATTTATTAAAAACACTTACAGGAAACTTAAGGTATTTTTTGAATCTATGCAGACCAAAGGTAATGTTCGTCGACAGTGATATTGCTGCAATTGTTTATAAGACTGCTACGGAATTAAATTTTTCTACAAAAATTGTAGTTTTCGGTGAAATTGGAAGATTTGAATCTCTTCAATCAATTCTGAATAATAATTCTCATAAAGACGAAATTAATAATTTCCATGTTTCTCGGGACTTAAAACAGAATCACACGGTGATGATGTTGTTCACTTCCGGTACGACGGGTTTGCCGAAAGCTGTGAACATTCCTGACACAATTTTTATAGATTGGGCAAACGGTCGGTCCATCCTATATCGTAATAGCATCGGTCTTTGGTTCGTATCCTTGGGTTGCATTATTGGCGCTGTTATGACTGTGCGCAGTGTGCTTTCACGTGTCAAAGTAATAAAACCAACACCATTTCTTTTCTATCCAGAAAATATATGTAACATGATACAAATGCATAAGGTACGTGCATTCAAGTTTTTGTTGAAAATTTAAAAGATGCAAAATATTTATATTTTTTTTAAATATATTTTTATTTACTTTAGGTTTTTTGGGTATTTCTTGAGACTAATATGTTGTATAATTTACAATCTTTTTTAAGATGTGATCGCTCAACACGATATGATATATCTTCCTTGAAATATGTCATTTTTGGTGGTTTTAGACAATCTGGTTCTATTCACAAGGAATTTTGTGAAGCATTGCCAGGCGTTTCTATCATTCAAATATATTGTGTGTATACACATTGCACCTGTAATTAACAATGAACAAAACAGTACCACAATATTAAAAATTTTGATTCTAAAATTATTTTAGACACGACTGAAACTGGTATTGTCACACACCAGAGGAGACTTGAAAAGTATGGCTCTAGTGGTCAGTCAGCTATAAAAGTTAATTTAATGATCGTTGATACATACGGCAATATGTGCGAGCCAATGGAGGACGGTAGTATCCTTTACCATACTTCGGGATTATTTAACAGCTATTATAAAAATAACACAGCTACACAGATTGCTGTAAACAAGCAAGGTTAGTTTTAACTTTTTTTTATTGATTTTATAACTGTAATATATAATATATCTATGTATAGATGTTTTCAAATATACACGTCATAAAATTCCAATATGTAGTTTTAATTAAAAACATTTATTGTCGAATTAATTATTTGAGAAAAACAATTTAAACTTTACGAAAATATGAAATAATACAAATCAGTAATAGAAGAATATACATTTATGATAAATAATGATTATTACAGGATGGTTCTGTACTGGAGATGTCGGTTTTTTCGATAATGATGGTGATATCTTTGTTCTCGATCGCAAAGTGAATGTTTATAATGGCATGATGTGTAGTATAATACCATTCGAAATTGAAAACGTGTTATGCATGCATCCGAATGTACACATTGTCTATATAATACCTATGTTGTTTCTAAATGAAAACCACCTAATAATACTCATTAAAAGAAAAAGTCCGAATAAACAGGTTTAAAGCTTTTTTTATGAAATTAAACAATTTTAATTATGACAAATTTTATATTATTATGTTTTAGGTTAAAACAAAACACTTGGTAAAATTATTACATCAGCATTACGGTTTTGGACTAATAAACTCCGTAAAATATAAGCTTCACTTTTATATTGTAGATAATATACCACGTTATTCCAATGGCAAAATTGATCTATTAATGTTACTTCGATTAAAAAACGATTTTTTACTTATATAAACAATGTATGTAAAGAAAGATGTCGATCGATCTATATTGACATATGCGATCTATAATAATGTATGCAACTATATATTTTTTTCTTTGCAATCATATGAACGATCTATAATATAAATATGATATAAATAATATTATATAAATATAAAAATATATATGAATATAAATAATATATAAGATAATATGTGTTATATATATATATATATATATATTTATATATTTATATATAATTTTATATAATTACATTTATATAATAATATTTTCTTGAGTTATATCAAATATTTTGTATCATAAATATATTTAGTAATACCAAATCAGTAACGTTTAATAATCTGTTTGTACTACAAAGTTACTTACAATTGTACCAATAATTATGAAAGTGGACTAAGTACAAAATCTTGATAAATAATTTTTTCTCTTAGTTAGTATTATATTGATTTATACAATTGAAATACTTCTAAGAAAAAAATGTATGACTTAGTCCAATTACTTTTTGTAATTGGCAGCACAATTAGCCTAAAATTTTATACTGGACGTTTCAATTTTGTACTGTACAGGCATATTAATGTAACATTTATTAATGTAGTAATTCATCACAGTAATTTATATTAATATGACGTTTATTAGTGTTAATATGTATTTTACTAAAATTGATATAATATTCTGTATATATAAATTTGTAGTACGTAAACATAAGCACAAGAAATGGATTTAATAATCGTTACATGCACTGCGTACATATTATTTTATATGATTGACTGTAAAAAATATAAGTAAATAAAAATATGTGAAAATGATTATACGTTTCAAAATTTTTTTAGAAAAATCATTAATTTCTGTTTAATGAAGATATTAATAAAGCATGCAGCATTAATTTTAAAATTTAGTTAGTTTCTTTTATTTTAATAAAATATTTATATTGTGATATATTAATCCTTCTTTTTGATTTTTCCTAGTAATAGCTTATTTAGTTAAATAAGAATTTTTTGCTCTTTTTATCACAATCTTTTAACGATAACTGATACATTTTTGTTTCTCAGGTGAAGCTCAAAATCATCTTTAAAATGTCGATGTAGCGGAAACAAGACGCAAGTTGCGAAAAAAAAGAAGTTGATTGTTCAATTGGTCTTGGCCACGCGTCAGAATTTAAAAGTTTTTTAAAAAATATTTTCTAGATACACAAAACATCATAATGGTCAACGAGTTTTTTCAGCACGTCGATTGCTAATCAGGATAAAATCATTCTGCTTGTTCAAAAGCATTCTTACATCATATTCTACGGCAGTTAATAATATTTTATAATTTAAGAAAGACATAAAAGTAATGTTGTTCAGAATCTTCCGATACATTAATTGCACAGTAGTGCCGATTCGTACGGTTTACTTTTAAGGTGTAAATTATTTGTGAGGAATATAATGAGGAACTGACACGTATGCTGATCGAGAAGTATAATGCGCGTACAATTTTAATCATAATTACTAAGTTGAAAATTTATTTCAATAATATTGTCGAAAGCGCCAAAACCATTACAAATGTTTAGGCGCCTCTACGCTGGAAATCACTCGCGCGACCCAAAGTTGCAAAAAAGAAGTCATACTTTTTTGTATCGCCATCACGCGGTTAAATGGAATTTTACAAGCAGGCAGCATTGAGTCAGATAAGGACGGGTCGTCGTAGACCGAGCGGTCAATTTTTATACTTTTTAGACACATAAAAAATGATTGTGCCTTTTCAATAAAATTTTGCGCCTTACACTAAAGCGTATATTGCGTATTGCCTAGAAGCGTCTTCTGCTATCACACATAGATAGAATAAATAGCTGCAATTCTTACTGATTGTGCATCCTGAAGAAAGATTTCTTTTATAAATATTGTTTACCTTTCTGGAAAAAAATCGTTAATCCTTAAAGAAAATAACAGTAGGCGGTATATTTATGAGACCGCACTTGCGTGAAGCAATGATAAAAACTTTACTTTTTAATAATAGAAATGTCAATGTAGTGACTTCAAATATAAGCATAAAGTAGCTATACAAATACGGATCTTTTTTATATCTTTGACTAATTGTTTCACAGATTATATAAATAGGAATGAGAAAGCTGTGATATTGACTGAACTATAGTTGTAATTATAATTATAGTAGGTACCTATAACTATAGTTTAATAGTTGACACTCTACAAGTGCAATAAAGTAGGTTTTAGCGGTTAAGTGATCTTAAACGCAAGGCTGAGAGTGATCGACATCGGAAAAAAAAAATTAAACTGGAATAAAATCGAAGAATTCTTGCACAAATTACTATACATAATGATACACAAGTATCACAATCTTTAAGCTATCTGGAAAACATTGAACGTTTCGAGTTTGCTTGGATAGCGCATATGTGTTTCTCTTATATTGTATAAATAATAATGATATCCGTTATTACAGTAAAGATGACAATTTTTATATGTAGTGATATCATGGAAATCATCGAGGTCAAAGAATTCATAATTTATACAAGTAATTGATGTCAAGAGAATGCGATTTAAAGTAATGCTGCCATTTGCGAGACTGCCGTGCCTATAGATAGTAGTTGTTGCATTTTTAAACAGTATACGTCGATATTCGACAGTTTATAGCACATTGAGAAATAAATTGTAAAGTCTTGATAGTCTTGTCAATATCGACTTGACAATATATAAAGCTTCTTGAGAGAGCTATTAAGTGCTGCAACTATTCTTATCCCTAAAATCCTTAAACTTCCTTTCTTAGAAAGGTATATTCTTCTAATTTTCTTGCCAACTAAATACTCCGAATTCTTGGGACAAAGATCCAGCTTATGCGTTTAGCTTTTAGCTCTCGTTCGCAGCTTTAATGAGCAACATCAATTTGCAATCCTAAATAAAAGTCTTACAGATAGGGGAGGGTTTCGTTTGCCTACAAATTGATTGTCTACAGTACCGATTGTCAACATCCCATTTGTCCACATTTCGTTTGCACACAAAAATGATTGCCTACAGATCGGTTACCTACAAGCTATATTACACACAAATAAAAAATTAAAAGCCAAACGCTCGTTTGCACACACGACAGTATTGCGCACAAGTCACATTGCACACAAAAATTATTGCCTACAGTACGATTGCCTACAAGCTCTATTGCGCACAAATAAAAAATTAAGCAAGGTCTACCCGCATCGCCCGGTGCTTTAGATGCAAAACTAGGTCTACAATTATACGGTTTTACATGGGTTTGCAACTTTTCGCGCAAAACAAGGTCTACTCCCATTGCCCGGTGCTTCGGCTGCAAAACTAGGTCTACAATTATACGGTTCCACCGGGCGATAGAGGTAGATTTTGCTTTGTGCGGAAAGTTGCAAACCCATGTAAAACCGTATAATTATAGACCTAGTTTTGCATCCAAAGCACCGGGCAATGCGGGTAGACTTTGCTTAATTTTTTATTTGTGCGCAATAGAGCTTGTAGGCAATCTTACTGTAGGCAATAATTTTTGTGAGCAAACGTACGTTTGTCTTTTTATTTTAATTTGTGCGCAATAGAGCTTGTAGGCAATCGTGCTGTAGGCAATAATTTTTGTGTGCAAATAAAATGTGGACAAACGAGATGTCGGCAACCGGTACTGTAGGCAATCAATTTGTAGGCAAACGGAACCCTTCCTACAGATAGTATTTGGTTTATTTCAAAATATTGATCACGTTGCAAATAAACACGTAACAAAGTGTAATAAAATTTTATTTACATAGAAGTTCTTCTCGTTGCAACATTAAAAAAAGATGCATATTTCGTTCTCTACATGTATATTTTGCATGTATATGCAGATTGATTTACAATTGGTCAAGTTAATTATGCCGCCTCTCTTATCACAAATATTTTCGCATATCTTAGCAATACGCAAATGTGTATTGCACACAATAATGTAAGCAGTAAATTATTTTTTAGATTTCTTTAAACTTTTTTTAAAGAAGATATTTATTTTAATGACTTTGCTAATAAAAAGATTACCTCTTTAGACTTTTGCATATATATATATATATATATATATTTTATAATTGATTTATTCTAAATTATTTACATTTATTCACATCTACTATAAATATTTATTCTTAATTTATACACGTTGCAATACAAATTGTTGAGATTATATTCACGTAATGGATCTTCGATTTGTTACGATCGGTTTGTAATAAAAAAACTTTTTATTTAAGAATTCTCACAACAGTATTTATTTTACAGCGAGCGCGTTTTACAATATCAGGCAAACGTAGATAAACACACCAGAAATGAACACAGAGCGTAGCAGTAACCTGGAATTCCACGTGGCAAATAAAACAAGAAAAGTCATTATTATCGATAATTGACAAATTATAGTGACAAATGAGCGACAGATAGACGGCAAAAATCGAGCAAAATCTTTTATTATTTTGTAATTATAAAATTAAAGAAAAAGCTATGCAAAAGCCTGAGCTAGAACTAGTTGCTCAATAAATTATATTAATCGGTAAGTAACATTACAAACGTTTTGGCACATATGTTTTGGTTCTCAGTTTGTCCTCAGTGTACAATAAAACGGAAAACAGAACTATAATACATATAATAATATAAACGCATGAACGCAAAGTTGTCAACAGCGACGGTTACGTAGAGAGTTAAAGTTTAAAATGTATTATTATCTTAAATACATTATCATTTTAAATGTGCTGTGTCGAATTTTACTGATTAATGCAGAGAAAAACCAAATATCGGTTCGCAAAAGTCTAAGGATATAAAAAGTCAAAAAGGTGTTAAAAAATTAAAATTTCTTGTTTCGATTTCTTGTCAGACTATTTAAAAAAAAATTTTTTTTTTATAAAGTATTTGGCCGCCTATTCATTTTGAATGATGAATTTGGACTTTTACCTTTATATATATTATTTTCACTGACTCTACATTATTAATTTTTTAACACCTTGGACTTTTTATATTGTAATGTAAAAATTGTATTTTGCATAAATACTAACATAATATACTTTTAGCCAAATTTAACATTAAATAATACTAAATACAATAAAAAAATTATTTACTTTTATTGAGTATACTTATTATACTTTATAATTAAAAAAAATAATATTTGTTAAATTAGATTAGAGCGCTTCTTCTTTCCTATCTACTTTTGTATCTACGCTTCTTTTTTTATCTACTCTTTAGTTAAATTGAATTTAATGAAATTTAATTTTCAATACATTAAAATTAAAAATTAGAACTTTATCGAAATCTCCAGAACTCAGATTTTAAAATTAAGTAAACTTATATGACCAATGTATTATACTTTAATGATATTTTAATGATAATTAACATGTTGTTATGTCTTACATCCTGCACGATCTTTCCTTTGCGCGATTATCCCACAAGTCCAACAAAGTTCGAAGGTCTCAAAAATTAAATCTTGAGATTAAGATAAATAAAAATCTTTTGGAAACAGAGAATTTTTCTTTCCATGAAAACCGAACACGCATATACCCGTTTAATACCTCAAATAAGACCCTGAAAAAATAATAAAATAATGAAAAATTCCTCAGAACCAAAAATTTTTTTCTGAAAATAAAAATCGAATCTTTATGTACCTACTTGCATAAAGCTTTGAATTAGACCTTAATACTGCTATATCCGAGCGAGGTAAACAAAATCCGCTCGGTGTAAAGAACTTTCAATCTTTATCATTCAAAGGATGACGAAAATAAAAAAGGAAAGTGAATTTTCGATTTCTAAAAGTTGTTTGTTCAGAAAATTTAGATAAGCCAAAAAACTAGACGGACAAACATAAACCGGATGTTTAGTAAAAACGTCCTCTTTGAATTTTCGCCGACAGTCATGTTTAGAAAGTTCCTAAAAATAAAATTTTACAACATTCCACGCCAAATACTACTCTGAGCATCCTATCTCTTATTTGTTGAATCTTTATTTCTTCCCACTTTAGAACAACCTTTATCCTCATGATTTTTTATTTGTGAATCGCATTTATTCCTTTCTTTATTTCTGAAGAATCTATCGATTTTCATTCGTTGGATCCTTTGGTTTTCTACTATGAAAGTCATTCTCATAGATTTCATCCTTCCAATTTGCTAACGAATTTTACAATCCTCGCCTACGTTAGAATTTCCTTGATGATTTAAAATCCTAATTCGTTCCCCACGACAAGTTCCCATAATTTAAGAAAGCATTCTTTTTCCAAAAAATCAGGGTATATAAAGTCGAATTTTGGACGCGACACTTATTTACGGACTCATAATTTTCGCCGCATATAGTTTTTCGCAGCTACGTACGGTCTTTGTATTTATAATGTTCACAGACTTATAATTTTTCGCCAAACTTATAATTTTTCGCTGCATACATAGTTCGGTTGGCTCGCGAGTTATAACTATTCGCTACCCAGTGAATGACCAGTGTAGTGCCTTTCTCTGGTGAATTGTAAATTGAGGACCGCTCCACCTCATCTATGAGAATCACTCGCAAGGACTATCCCAGGAATTTATAGACACACAGCTACTAAAAACGTCAAGTAGTAAGTTTTAGGATTAGTTTTTTCTTTTCGATTCGCAGATAAATAAACGCATTTTTAATTTATCATCTTTCACATTCACTTGCTTTTTTTTCAGTTTTTCTTTAAAGTCTACAACAACTCTTAATTTTTAATTTAAACTAAAATTCCGATCTCTATTTCAAACTTAATTCGAGCAAGCTTAGAAACTCTTCGAATCTAGCTTTGAATCTCTGTCTTTGTCTATCTCAATTCTTTCTCTCTTTCTCTTTCTCTCTCTCCCCTCTTCTCATTCCTCCCATCAGCTAAAAATTCTACAAATTTGACTTGAATAGTGCCCAATTTAAAAATTTAGAAATCCATTTAAAATAATATTCAAATTAAGTATTAAAAATATTTATAAAAAATGATGTAATCCAATACCGATAGTTTTATCAGATGCGATAAAAATACATTTATTGTTAAAAAGTTTTCGATATCAGACCTGACATTGCCTTGAATCAAATGTCAGTTGATCAAATGTTAGACTACAAGTCGATCGCGTAACCGAACTGCTGCCAAAGAGAGGGGTAATTTCCAGATATATATCTTGTACCTGAAGCAGGTAGTAGAGTGATTGAATGTTACCAGTCGACTATAGTCCACGTTCATACGTACATCGTCGTTTACCGGTCTCCGTTGTACTTAATGAAAGTAAGAACTTGATCTTCAAGCAGTGTAAGAACTCCTTTCAAATGTGAAATTTTCTCTATCCCTGAAATTGACGTTTTTGATTTTCGCTCAAGTTCAGTAACTTTTTCCTCTTTTGAATTATAATCGAAGGTATAGTATACACCCAAGAATTTATTTCTTTCTATCGCAGTGTGCAATATTTATTTATTTATTTAGCTTAGTTACGTATAATAGTTTATTTAAGGTCGAACTAGAATATATCTACAATATTTCTTTTTCTAAAAAAATATTCGCGTTATGCTATCTTTGAGAAAATACCATACATAGTTAACAGATAATATTAATCACAAAATATATATATTTTTTTTTCAAAATGATATTAAAATTCTTCTCACCAATATTTTTAGACGATTAATCATCTACGTTCACTTTTATTCTTCCCAAACTTAGTCCTTGTTTATAGCTTTGCAAAGCAACAGTTCCGAAAGAGATTACAAGTCAACATGCAGATCTTATCATAAAATTCAAATATAAAGATTAGCATGTGAATATCTACAGTCTCGGTAAGATACTTTCTTTTAAAAATGTATTTAAGATTGTAATTTTCTAGGTTTTTGGTCTTTTTAATATTACAATCTTTCTTATTATTGTAACAATTTCTTTTTGTTATAACAGTAATCAATAATTCAAAATAATATCTTGTTATATTAATATCTAGAAACAAAGTGTATCATTTTAAACAAATACATAAACTTATAAATATCAAATAATTCGATACTGAAATTATATTAGGTTGTGTAATAAATAAATTCGGATTTTTTATTAGGTTTTTTTTTGAAAATTTTAAAAAATTACTAATTACACAATTTTACTATTACATAAACTTATTAAAAGGTAACAATTTCGTATCATGGAGATAATATGGATTTCTAATAGAAATCTATTTAATATCCATCGTAGAGATAGATGTAGTATGGAGTTATGGAGATTATATGGACGTCCATTGGATGTCATGTTCTGTGTGGGTAGTAACGAATATTGTTAGGACATCGTCGATGTCAAACGTTTCGGCCATCTTCAGTGCTAACGTTACAAATCTGTTTAGTAGAAAGATTGTGGTTTTAATTCATCATTAATAAAATTATTTGGAAGTAAAGTCACAAATGTGATTGCGAGATAGTCTTGTTTATGTAGGTGTTAACAGAATGTCACCCTGTGAGACAGTTGCTGTGAGACAGTCGAGAACATGGTGACATTCTGTTAACACCTACATAAACAAGACTATCTCGCAATCACATTTGTGACTTTACTTCCAAATAATTTTATTAATGACGAATTGAAACTACAATCCATCAAAGCTCTATGAAATATCTATGGAACATCTATGATGAGCTCCATATGATATCTATGAATATATCTAATGGATGTCGAATGGAGGTATGTAATGCGGAACTGTGGATGTCTAGTAAACATCTATAGGAGATAACATGGATATCTAATAAAGGTTTTGAATCTCCATGATAGACATCTGGTGGATATCCATTAGAGGTTTTTGTTCCGTGTGGGTATTATTGTATATTGTTTTGTTATTCATATAAGCCCGCTATTCCTACCCGTTATTTATATAAGCTCGCTGTGATAGGTTTTTTTTTTTTTTTTGGTTCGCTCGAACTATCGAAAAAATGAAATTTTGGAGAAATATGAGGGCCTCCTTAAGATCATAGCATAGAGGCCACAAAATAGTACATTCAGCCCTGATTATATTAGTTCTATTATTAACAATAACTCATACTGACATATTGCATAAAGAAAAAAAATTTTTGCTGCAGTAAAATCGTTATTATTATTGCACATTCAATGAAACAGAGATTATACTTTATGTATTAATTATTTAATATATTAGAAATGGGATTTTATCCGAGTGATCGGCGTGCCCTCCTTATTAGATACCGCTTTTGGGTATGCTCTTCTAGTTTTAGTTTAATTTGTTTATACTTTTGTGTTACACGTTTCTTCTCACATGTTTATTATTCTTCTTGAATAAACAAGATTATAAAATACTTCGCCGTGTACATTTGACTAGCCTTGACAGGTTATGAGCTCAGCAACGTATTAAAACTGCGAAAAATTAAAGAAGTGAAAATTTCGACAAAAATATAAGTAAAGTCTTTGTTGCAATAATCATGGCGACAATAGCGAGCACGCAACACATCGAAAAATTAGACAAGACGAACTTCGAGTCATAGAAGTTAACAATGAAGATTGTGCTAATTTGCAACGAATTGTGGTCTTACGTAAATGGGACAGCAGTAAAGACCGAGCAAACCCAGACCGAATGGACGCTAAAGGACGAAAAGCCATTGGCATTAATTATGTTGAGTATCAAAAGCAATCAGTTAAATCATACAAAAAGAGTTCAGACGTCAAAAGAAGCTTGGGACACATTGGTGCAGATGTATGAATCGAAAGGTCCGGTAAGAAAAGCTGTTTTATATAAAAGATTGTATCGTATGGAACTTTTGCAAATAATGGCATCGTATATTAATACGTTCTGTAACGTGGCCGAAAAATTAAAAGAGGTAGGAATACAAATATCGATAGAATTATTATCCATTATGATCCTGAATTCATTACCAACCGAATACGAGAATTTTTATGTAGCAATCAAGTCTAAGGATGAAATACCGAGCATTGAGTCATTAAAGGCAAAATTAATAGAAGAGGAAGCGAGATGGTTAGAACATGACAACAAACACGCCATTTATGAAGATGAGAACGACACCCTCATTGCTAAAAACAAGCACAAATCAAACAAAAATACACATGCCAAGTGCAAATCAACGCGATATAAAATTAAAAACAAAATTTACAGGTAAATGTTTTAATTGTGGTAAAATTGGAAACAGAGCTTCTGATTGCAAGTGTACAAAGAAACAAACTACAAAAAAGAATGCAAAAGATGTAATGTCAGCAACTCAGTCTTATCTATCTTATCTTTTGAGTCGTCAGCAAGTCAGTGTTATCTTTTGAAACATGCAAATCGACCAAATGGTACTTAGATAGTGGAACAACATGAAATATGTACAACAATTCCAAAAAATTTTTTGAGTTGGACTATACAAAAAAATGTGAAATTCACTGCAGAACATCGGACGGAATCAACAGGAGCAGGTACTGGAAGATAATAATGCAAATCAAATTATGTTACAAAATATCTTATTAGTACCAAAGTTTAAAAATAATCTGTTATCAATGTCATGTATGACAGATCGAGGTTATACAGTCACTAAAAATTATGTTACTTACAAGTTAAACGTAAAGACGGAACCGTTGCAATTAAGCCGAAAAGGCAAGGCCAATTATATGTAATGAATGAAGACTAGCCAACATACGCAAATAATGTGACACTACACAATTCATCGAATACAAACGACAAACAATTGCGATAAAAGATACGGACATTTAAATTTTCCCGAATAAACTAAAATTAAAAGACATGGTGATGAATATGGACATGAAACCAACTTGTGAACAGTTCGTATGTGAAATTTGTGACAAGGAAAAGATTCATCAACTATCATACAACGATGCTGTTAAGATAATAAACAAGATTATAAAATAGTTTGCCGTGTACATTTGACTAGCCCTAACATGATATTATAGCAAAATCGATTTTATTAATAAAATGAGAAACTTTTGCTAAATAAATTTGTTATACGAGTTATTGTTCATATAATAATTGTTTATATAATAATAAGTTTATATAATAATTATATAATAATTTTTTATACGAATCTCTATTGCTAAATCAATAGTTTAATATTTGCACGAGTAACAGCTTTGGCTCTACTTGCCCAGAAAATTTATGTTTAATAATTTTTAAATTAAGGACTAGTATAATTCATTTTACTATTAAAATTATTAAATTATTAATTACTAGTAAAATTATTATTCTCAACAGACTTTTTTTCTTATTTATGTAATAATTGAAAAATTTACGAGGCTTTGTATGCTATATATTAAAAAATCTTTTCCTGCGTCATATAAATTTTTTAAAATTACTTAATATATAACAAACCAAATAAACATGACGCTACAATCTCGAAAGGAATCAATTTTTTATTGTAGATATTTTTTTTATTCTATCTTATTAGTATATATTTATGTTGCAAGGATTTTATTGAATAACGACGAGGTGTCTAACCACATCAGTATCTCACACCAGGATCTCGTACATAGGATCTGAGACTTGGTTATTTAAATCAAGATGGTTACGGAATCGGAGAATAATGTGAGCAGTCATGCGTAGCTAATTTTTTTATCGTTAATATAATTAACACAGTGACACACATAAACTTCAAAAATATTGTAACATTTTAAAGAAAAAAATTTTTCTTTTTTTTTAGACTAAATCCAAGAATTTCACCGTAGAAAATAATGTTTACATAGGCGAAGTGGTATCTTATACGAGTAATTATAAGAGTTTCGGAGAGATGATCTGGGATAGCATTAAAAACAATGGAAATAAGATCGCACACGTGAGTAAACATTTATGTGTAATATCGATATACGAAGTGTTTAAAACAATTATATTATATTTTATAATTAACGCTTATTTTAATTTACATTAATTCATTTGTAATAATGTTTGATCTATTTTATGGATAGCAAAAAGATTTATTAAATAAAAATGCAAAAATAAAAGCACGCTTAATGAAGGATAACGTTTTAATGAAAGTTAATTGCGATACTGATTGCGACTGATGATACGATCAGAATTTGTTGCAATTCGTTATCAGTGCATTTATAAAACACATTAAATAGATTTGTCTCACAAACATTTTCATTTAAGAAAAAAAAGAAATTCAAATAGAATTATTTAAAAATTAATCACACGTTTGCATAGACATTTCTTTTACTTGCGACCGGTTTGATATTAGTAGAAAATATAAAATTTATATCTGCATTTGATTCTACAACAGCTTATCATTGAACAGTCAATGTTTCAAAACAAAATAAATAAGCGAAATTTGGAATGAGATTGCTTGTGATTTTCCGTATTGAAGCATATAAGTTTTATGTTGTATAAATACTTGAGAAACTCAATTTGAGTGAGAAACTGCTTATGAGAAACTACGTAGAATAATCCGGATGTTCTTTTAATTTTAGCTAAAGAGTCTACGACGGATTTAAAAGGAAACAGTCTATATATAACAACAATAATGTTACAGTTGGATGCTCTCACGGAAGAGGTGGTCACATATGCGGAGCTGCAAGATAAAATTGTGAGATGCGCGTTATGGCTACAAGAACATGGAATTAAGACGGACGATGTTGTGACTGTGTGCACCAACAACCACCTGAATTCTATCGTGCCATGTTTGGCGGCGAGTTACATCAATGCGATTTTTAATACATGGCATGAACATTTGGACTTGCGTAAGTCTGATAATACTTATAAAATCGTACATTTAATCGTGTCATGATGATATGACAATTTGTATTTGATTAGACGGAACATATAATCACGAAGAAATAAATTAAATACATTTACAAAGTATTTAATTTATAACTATGTAAAAAACTCCAATAATAGTAAGCTAATAAGTGTGTTTTTATTTAATGTGTATTTTTTATTCTTTTTTTTTATTATTCAATTTTTTTTTATTATTTAATCATAATGATAATACTTAATCTACTCAAAATTCTGCATTGTTTGCCATTAGAAACTGCGCTACACTTTCTGCAGCTGTGTGAGCCAAAAGTGATCTTCTGCAGCAAGCTATCCTTGGACATTATCCAGAGTGCGATAATGAAGACGAATTACGATCCCATAATAGTAGTATTCGGCAATCATCCTGACGCAATTCCGTTCGCCAACATTTTGAACAACTACAGCAATATGGAAGTGGCGAATTTCCGATATGCCAAGCTCGACAACATAAAGAGAACGGTGTGTATCATACATTCATCAGGCACCACAGGAATGCCAAAGAGCGTTGAACTGTCCAATTACACTCTGATGATGATTAGCATAGACCAGAAATTCACCGCGGTGACACTTTGGTTTACGACTCTTTATTGGATTAGTGGAGTGGTGATGAATGTAAGGTCAATCACGCAGGGTGCAAAAGTAATCATTTATCCGGAATTCGATGAGGAAATGACATGCAAATTGATTGAAAAATACGAGGTGAGAATCGTGAGCTGGCAATAGAGATACAGTCCTCAAAAAATCATCAAAACTATAAACTACTACTTTATTTATAGAAACTTTATTTTTATAGAAGTAATAAAAACAAAACCTTAAATTCTTATTTAGTTAAAAAGAAATGTTAACTGACCTATATTAAAACATCTTTCTTGATGCAGATTTTTTGGTAAATAATAATAATAATAATTTATTTTTCTTTGCAAATTTTGTGCAAAAACTGCGTCAACAAATTCAAACACACTTAATATTAAGTTCAAAGTTTATTTATTATTCAATCATTATTGCCATTAGCATTATAAACAAAAAAATCTAGTATGTGATTAGTTATATGTTGAGATAATAATATATAAAAATATAATTTATATTATAATTTACAATGTCGTACTATAAATTTTATAGAACAAGCTGTGTGTTAAGTATGTTAAGAATTAGATAAACTGTTTTACAATTATACAACGGAATGCAACGTTATGATGCAACTTTAATCTTATCTTTAGATTGTAATGCTTTTTCTAAGCACGAGTATGATCAATCGATTTCTCAGAGCGGGTTATGTAAAGAAGTATTCATTACCGTCGTTAAGAATCATATTTGGCGGTGGTGCAATTCTCAAGCCGAAATCTCAAGAAGAATTGAGACGTCTTTTACCGCACGTCGAAATACTTCAAGTTTACGGTAAGAATCGTAGCACAATAAAATTTGGAACATGATATTTTTTTATCAAAAAATCTAAAACAAAAAAATTTATTGTAACAAGTTCTGTATTATTCATTCACTTGTTTAGGAATGACGGAAGTCGGCGGGGTGGCAGTGAGGCAAAACCCGAATCATAAGAACGGGTCTTGCGGAACGGTAGTTCCAAATGTACAAATAAAGATCGTGGACCCGGAAAGTGGAAAAGTCATGGAACCGAATCAATCGGGAGAAATATGGATACGCTCGAAGAACATGATGAATGGTTATTACAAGAATCCTGAAGCGACAAACAATACAGTTGATAAAGACGGTAAGAAAATTCTTCTTCTCATAACACTATTAATATTATAAAAACAATAGATTATTTACATATTAATCAAAATAATTAAATACAATTTTATTTTGTTAAATATTAGATTACTAGAATAATAATAATATTATTAAAAATAAATTGGAATTTTTTTCTAGGATGGCTACATTCAGGTGATATTGGTTATATCGACAGCAATGGAGAACTTTTTATTTTTGACAAAATAAAGGAGCTTATGAAATATAGGAACTTTCAAATATCACCTGGAGAAATTGAGGCTGTATTACAGTTACATCCAGGAGTGTTGGAAGTTGCAGTAGTAGCGGTACCTCATGCAACAGACGACGAACATCCTCTTGCATATGTTAGCAAAAAGCCCGGCTTCAAGGTAATCTTGTTGTAAATATAAGGAATTAACAGAGCGGGAGTTTATTTATTGTAGATAATAAAAGAATTAATATTTTTTAAGAATTAATATTTTTTCGAAAGATTTTATTTAAAAAATTGTTTTTATAGGTGACGGAAAAAGAATTGATAGATCTCGTTGCAAGTAAAATGAGTGATCAATACAAATTGCGTGCCGGAGTGATATTTCTGGATACTTTTCCGTACACAGGTTCTGGGAAAATCGCAAGGAAGGATTTAAGAGCAATGGCTAAAAAACTAGAAAAAGTAGAATAAAATGATATTAATTATAATTTCTTCACAATGGTGCAGGATTTATTTAGTAGTGTCATTTTCTGAACTTTGCCAAAAACTTTTTTCCTGACTTAGTAGTGTCGTTTTTTGAACTTTGCCGGAGACACTACCGCGTCTCCTGATATATACATAGAGTAGATGAAAAAAAGCTAAATTCTTAAATTTCATATTTAATTTATGTATATTTTTATGCGAATTAACAATAGTTATATATTATTTTTTTCATAATTTTAAAATGTTTTAAAATAACAAGTCTTTAATAGTTTTATAAAAAAAATACTTAATATAATTTCTAACTAATTTTAAATTTTTAATTGACAAAATTAAACAATTTTTTTGTATATAAATCTAGTTCTTAACAATAGACACAAGCCAGGTTATGGCTTTGTGAATGTTTGTTAAGGTTTAATTAACCAAATTTAAAAACTGATTAAATTAATAAACAATTGTACAATTTTTAAATATTATTTTAGATGCATAAAATAAGTTCGTAAATCTTTGTCATATAATGATTACAACAAAATTGCGTAACTATTTATTTGCAGAGTATTACATATAAATAAAAGTTATTAAAAAATATTTGATAATAAATTTTGATTATTTTACGTAAAATTATTATATAACAAAAATATTATTTGGCACCCAGTGAAAAATGACAAGTCAAAAATACATATATCAGCCGCGTATAGACGTCTATAAAGGTCTATTAAATGTCTATGAAACGTTTCTTAGACCTGTATTTCTCACTGTGCATGTAAGTAAGGGCACAGAAAAGTATGTGTGTATATTAACAGTCATAGAAATTTTGAAATATTGTCAAATGTTAAAATTTTGTAATTTATTGCAATTAATTAACGACAAAATCAAATGTAATAAATTAGTCATAAGTCTTAAATTTCTTTCGGATATCCTTGTGCTTTTGCCCCTTTAAACATAGCTACAAGGGAATCCAAAGTCTTCTCTTCAGATAGGATAAATTGATTAGAAGGCAGCAAGAAACCATAACAACCACGATTACGCAACTCATATGTGTACACAATAGGTTAACCATAAATATCCCTAATATAATCCGAACTAACTCCAGTACACACATCTAGAAAAAATTTTACAAAAATAATATATTTAATTGGAAACTTTTATCTCACATTTATCTGGTTCATTTTATTTCAGTTTATTTCAAAATATTTATCACATTGCAAATAAACACGTAACAAAGCGTAATAAAATTTTATTTACATAGAAGTTCTCCTTGCAACATTACAAAAAGTTGCAATTTTCATTCTATTCATGTATATTTTGTATGCATATGCAGATAGATTTACAATCGGTGTATCAAGTTAATTATGCCGCCTCTCTTATCACAAATGTTCGCGCATATTTTAGCAATACGCAAATGTGTATTGCACACAATAATGTAAGCAGAAGATTATTTTTTAGATTTCTTTAAACTTTTTTTAAAGAAGAGATTTACTTTAATGACTTTACTTTAATGAAAATATTACCTCTTTAGACTTTTCCATATTTTATAATTGTTTTTGATTTATTCTAAATTATTTACATTTATTTACATTTACTATAAATATTTATTCTTAATTTATACATGTTGCAATACAAATTGTTGAAATTATATTCACGTAATAAATCTTCGATTTGTTACGATCGGTTCGTAATAAAAGGACTTCTTATTTAAGAATTCTCAAAACAGTATTTATTTTACAGCGAGTGCGTTTTACAATATCAGGTAAACGTAGATAAACACATCAGAAAAGAACACAGAGCGTAGCAGTAACCTCCACGTGGAAGTTCCACGTGGCAAATAAAAAAAGAAAAGACATTATTATCGATAATTGATACAAAACTAAAAGATAAATAATTGCAATAAGGTATAAATGATCATTAAATATATTTTCTTTTTCTCAACACTAATAATTAAAACAAATTCTTTCAAATTGATTTAATTACCAAATTTGCATTTTGTTAAAAACAACTGTAGTAAACAACTGTATATGTACTGCCAAAGCAAATACAGTAAACAACTGTAGTAAACAACAAATTATAATACATTTTTTAAAATCACAATTTAATTATTTTATTTTTTAGAAATATTATAGTTCTTAATACAGTTGATTCCAACTAATAAAATAGCCAGTTAATTGGGGCAACCGTTTATTTAAAACAAATTTAAAAAATAAATTCCAATAAACAAAATAATCAAAATTTGTATAATTTAAGCAATTACTTAATTAGACCAAAATGTTACAGACACATCAGTCCCAATTAACCGGAATTGATTACATATCATATTAATGTATTATTAAGATTGTACATCGTATTAACGCATTATTTATATGTCTAAAAATTTATGGAAATAGTTTTTATAAAATGTTTGGTAAATTTAGTTAACAAAATACTAATAGAAATTTAACAAACTTTTATGACTTTATTCTTATTATTTACAAATTATAGTGACAAATAAACAACAGATGGACGGCAGAAATCGAGCAAAATCTTTTATTATTATTTTGTAATTATAAAATTAAAGAAAAAGCTATGCAAAAGCCAGAGATAGAACTAGTTGCTCAATAAATTATATTAATCGATAAGTACCATTACAAACGTTTCGGCACATATGTTTGGTTCTCAGTCTATCCTCAGTGTACCAATGAAACGGAACGGTAATACAATACCTTGCATGAACGCAAGGTTGTCAACAGCGACGGTTACATAGAGAGTTAAAGTTTAAAATGTATTATAATCTTAAATATATTATCATCTTAAATGTGCTGTGTCGAATTTTATTCACTGGTTAATGTAGAAAAAATCCAAATGTTGGTGCGCAAAAGTTCAAGGATATACGAAGTCCAAATGGTGTCAAAAAATTAAAATTTCTTGTCTCGATTTCTTGTCTGACTTTTTTTGTTTAATTAATTAATTTTTTTTTTTTATAAAGTATTCAGCCGCCTATTCATTTTGAATGATGAATTTGGACCTTTACCTTTGTATATATTACTTTTACTGGCTCTATTATACATTCTTAACTTTTTAACACCTTGGACTTTTTATAGTAATATAAAAATTGTATTTTGCATAAATACTAACATAATATACTTTTAGCAAAATTTAACATTGAATAGTACTAGATAAGAAATAAAAAATTATTTACTTTTATTGATTATACTTATTATACTTTGTAAATTTAAAAAAATAATATTTGTTAAATTAGATTAAAGCGCTTTTTATTTCCTATCTACTCTTTTATCTACGCTTTTTTTAATCTACTATTTAGTTAAATTGAATATAATAAAATTTAATTTTCAATACATTAAAATTAAAAATTAGAACTTTATCGAAATCTTCAAAATTAAAATTTTAGAATTAAGTAAACTTATATGGCAAATGTATTATAATTTAATAATATTTTAATAATGATTAACATGTTGTTATGTCTTACATCCTGCACGATCTTTCCTTTGCGCGATTATCCCACAAGTCCAACAAAGTTCGAAGGTCTCAAAAATTAAATCTTGAGATTAAGATAAATAAAAATCTTTTGGAAACAGAGAATTTTTCTTTCCATGAAAACCGAACACGCATATACCCGTTTAATACCTCAAATAAGACGCTGAAAAAATAATGAAATAATAAAATAATAAAAAAATTTCTCAAAACCAAAAATTTTTTTTTGGAAATTGAAATCGAATCTTTATGTACTCGCATAAAGCTTTGAATTAGATCTACTGCCATATCCGAGCAAAATAAACTTATTCCGCTTGGAGTAAAAAATTTTCAACTTTTATCATTCAAAAGATAACGAAAATAAAAAAGGAAATGGTGAATTTTCGGTTTCTAAAAGATGTTTATTCAGGAAATTTCAATAAGCCAAAAAACTAGACGGACATAAACCGCGGATGTTTAGTAAAAACGTTCTCTTTAAATTTTTGCCGACAGGCATGTTTGGAAAGTGCCTAAAAATAAATTTTTACAATATTACACGCCAAATACTACATCTAAGCATCCTATCTTCTATTTATTGAATTTTTTCATTCTTTCTTACCTTAGAACAACCTTTATCCTCATGATTTCTTATTTGTGAATCGCATTTATTCCTTCCTTCATCTCCGAAGAATCTATCGATTTTCATTTGTAGGATCCTTTGGTTTTTTACTATGAAAGTCATTCTCACCGATTTCCTTCCAATTTGCTAACGCATTTTACAATCTTACTCCACGTTAGAATTTCCTTGATGATTCAAAATCCTAATTTGTTCCTCACGACAAGTTTCCATAATTTAAGAAACTCCATAAGAAAGCATTCTCTTTCCAAAAAATCAAGATATACAAAGTCAAATTTTAGACGCGACATTTACTTACGGACTCATAATTTTCGCCGCATATAGTTTTTCGCAGCTACGTACGATCTTCGGATTTATAATTTTCACAGACTTATAATTTTTCGCCACATTTATAATTTTTCGCTGCATACATAATTCGGTTGGCTCGCGAGTTATAACTATTCGCTACCCAGTGAATGACTAGTGTAGTGTCTTTCTCTGGTGAATTGTAAAATCGAGGCCCGTTCTACCTCATTTATGAGAATCACTCGCAAGAACTATCCCAGGAATTTAGACACACAGCCACTGAAAACGTCAAGTAGTAAGTTTTTTTCTTTTCGACTCGAAGATAAATAAGCGCATTTTCAATTTATCATCTCTCACATTAACTTGCTTTCTTTTTCAGTTTCTCATTAAAGTCTACAACTTTCAATTTTTAATCCAAACTAAAATTTCAATCTCTATTTCAAACTTGATGCGAGTGAGCTGACAAACTTTTCAAATCTAGCTTCGAATCTTTGTCTTCGTCTATCTCAATTCTCTCTCTCTTTTTCTCTCTCTCTCTCTCCTCTTTTTATTCTTCCCACCAGCTAAAAATCCTACAGATCTCACCTGAATAGTGTTTAATTTCACTACAATGTTAATGATATTTTAGAAGTCTATTTAGAATAATATTCAAATTAAGTATTAAAAATATTTATAAAAAATTATGTAATCAAATACCGATAGATTTAGCAGATGCAATAAAAATATATTTATTGTTAAAAAATTTTCAAGTACAAAAGTATGAGACCTGACATTGCCTTGGATCAAATGTCAATTGATCAAATGTTGGACTACAGGTCGATCGCGTAACCAAACTGCTGCCAAAGAGAGGGGTATTTTCCAGGTATATATCTTATACCTGAAGCAGGTAGTAGAATGATTGAATGTTACCAGTCGACTATAGTCCACGTTCATACATACATCGTCGTTTACCGGTCTCCGTTGTACTTAATGAAAGTAAGAACTTGATCTTCAAGCAGTGTAAGAACTTTCAAATGTGAAATTTTCTCTTTCCTTGAAATTGACGTTTTTGGTTTTCGCTCAAGTTTCAGTAACTTTTTCCTGTTTTCTTGAATTATAATCGAAGGTATAGTATACACCCAAGAATTTATTTCTTTCTATTGCAGTGTGCAATATTTATTTATTTATTTAGCTTAGTTACGTATAATGGTTTATTTAAGATCAAACTAGAATATACTTACAATATTTCTTTTTTTAAAGAAATATTCGCGTTATGCTATCTTTGAGAAAATACCATACATAGTTAACAGATAATATTAATCACAAAGTAAATAATTTTTTTTTTTAAATACATTAAAATTCTTCTCGTCAACATTCTTCGACGATTGATCATCTGCCGTTCACTTTTATTCTTCCCAAACTTAGTCCTTGTTTCTCGCTTGACAAAGCAACAGTTCCGAAAAAGATTGTAAGTTAACCTACAGATTTTATCATGAAATTCAAATATAAAGTTTTGCATGTAAATATCTACAGTCTCGGTAGGATACTTTCTTCTAAAAATATAATTAATGTAAAATGTAATATTTATGTAATAATTGAAAAACTTACGAGGTTTTGTATGCTATATATTAACAAATCTTTTCTCGCGTCATATATATTTTTTAAAGTTATTTAATATATAACATGCCAAGTAAACGTACATAACGCCACTATCTCGAAAGAGATTAGTTTTTAATCGTAGATATTTTTTTTATATTATCTAGCTTATCAATATATATTTATGTTGCAAAGATTTTATTGAATAACGACGAGGTGTCTAATCACACCAGTATCTCACATCAGCATCTCACACCAGAATCTCGTGCGTAGGATCTAAGACTCGGATATTTCTATCAAGATGGTTGCGGACTCGGAGAATAATGTGAGCAGTCATGCGTAGTTAATTTTTCCATCGTTTATATGATTAACACAGTGAAACACATAAACTGCAAAAATATTGTGACATTTTAAAGAAAAGAATTTTTCTTTTTTTTTTAGACTAAATCCAAGAATTTCACCGTAGAAAATAATGTTTACATAGGCGAAGTGGTACCTTATACGAGTAATTATAAGAGTTTTGGAGAGATGATCTGGGTTAACATTAAAAACAATGGAAATAAAATCGCACACGTGAGTAGACATTTATATGTGATATCGATATACGGAGTGTTTAAAACAATTATATTATATTTTATAATTAACGCTTATTTTAATTTACATTGATTTATTCGTAATAACGTTTGATCTATTTTATGTATAGCAAAAAGATTTATTAGATAAAAATGCAAAGATAAAAGCAAGTTGTTGTTTAATGAAGGATAACGTTTTAATAAAAATTAATTGCGATACTGATTGCGACTAATGATAAAATCAGAATTTGTTGCAATTCGTTATTAATGCATTTATAAAACACATTATATAGATTTGTCTCAACATTTTTGTTAAAAAAAAAAAGAAATTAAAATAGAATTATTCAAAAATTAATTACACGTTTGCATAGACATTTCTTTTACCTGTGATAATAGTTGATATCAGCAGAAAATATAATTTATATCTGCATTTAGTTTTACTAACGTCTTATTATTTAAGTAGATTTAAATTAGTCATATTTCAAAACAATCTTCATCAAACATAACAAATAAATTTTGTTAAATAAGCAAATGTTGCTAAAAAAATAACAACGATAAATTTATCTGTATTTCAATAGGTCTGTTCTTTATAGCTGAACTGGCTGCACTAGTTCGAAGTTTATCTTTTTCTTTTCACATTTAAAAGAGGAAGATAAATTCTGAACTAGTGCAGCCAGTTCAGCTATACAAAACAGACCTTATATAAGATATCGAGCTGCATGAGAACCACTGCATTGAAAAATTTTGTAAATATTTTAATATTAGCGCTTTATCAGCGTTTACTAGTCGATTAGTAGTAGCATAAATCTATCTTGTGACCTTTTAATATAATATATTGTATTGTATATAACTATACTGATAAGCAGATAAATAGCTAGCAGTAATATAGCATTTTCCACTGTGCATATCTCATTATGACTAATGTATGAAAAAACGCTATAAAGCGATTTATAATAACTACTGAATAAAAAAAGGTCAGAGTACAGAAATGAAGACACACCTTTTACAAAAAAATAAACACGCACGATGTAACCGGATAATTAAGTCAGACAACTGGTTTGAACAAATGTACAACTTGTTTTGTCGCAATACTTTAACAATTTTTTGTCTTTTTTTATTTTGTCAAAGAATTGTTATGGTGAAAGCAATTTAAAGGCTATAAAAAAAGAAAAAAACTCCATAATAGTGAATTTCCGGAGATTTTTAAATTGCTTTTTCATAAAGAGAAAAGAAATTAAAATAAAACCACTTAAAAATTAATCACACGTTTGCATAGACATTTCTTTCACTTGTGACTGGTTTTATATCAGTAGAAAATATAAAATTTATATCTGCATTTGATTTTACAACAGCTTATCATTTGAGCAGTCAATGTTTCAAAACAAAATAAATAAGTGAAATGTGGAATGAGATTGCTCGTGATTTTCCGTATTGTTGCATATAAGTTTCATGTTGTATAAATACTTGAAAAACTCAAGTTGAGTGAAAAACTGCTTATGAGAAACTACGTAAAATGATCCGATGTTCTTTTAATTTTAGCTATAGAATCTACGACGGATTTAAAAGGAAATAGTCTATATATCAACAACAATAATGTTACAGTTGGATGCCCGCACGGAAGAAGTGGTCACATATGCGGAGCTGCAAGATAAAATTGTGAGATGCGCGTTATGGCTACAAGAACATGGAATTAAGGCGGGCGATGTTGTGACTGTGTGCACGAACAATCACTTGAATTCTATCGTGCCATGTTTGGCGGCGAGTTATGTCAACGCGATCTTTAATACGTGGAATGAGCATATGGACTTGCGTAAGTCTGATAATACTTATGAAGTCATACATTTAATCGTGTCATGATGACATGACGATTTTAGTACTCGATTAGACGGAACATATGGTAAAAAAAAAACATTTATAAAGTATTTAATTTATAACTATGTAAGTAGCTCCAATAATAATAAGCTAAAAGTGTGTTTTTATTTAATTTGTATTTTTTATTCTTTTTTTATTATTTAACCATAATAATAATACTTAATCTACTCAAAATTCTGCATTGTTTGTCATTAGAAACTGCGCTACACTTTCTGCAGCTGTCTGACCCAAAGGTGATCTTCTGCAGCGAGCTATCCTTGGACATTATCCAGAGTGCGATAAAGAAGACGAATTACGATCCCATAATAGTGGTATTTGGCAATCATCCCGACGCAATTCCGTTCGCTAACATTTTGAACAGCTACAGCAATACGGAAGTGGCAAATTTTCGATTGGCCGAGCTCGACGACATAAAGAGAACGGCGTGCATCTTGCACTCATCAGGCACCACAGGGATGCCAAAGGGCGTTGAACTGTCCAATTACACTCTGATAATGATCGGTGCAGACCAGAACTTAAATATAGTTACTGCGGTGACACTTTGGTTTTCATCTCTTTATTGGATTAGTGGAGTGCTGTTGAACGTAAAATCAATCACGCAGAGCGCAAAAGTAATCATTTATCCAGAATTTGATGAGGAAATGACATGCAAATTGATTGAAAAATACGAGGTGAGAATCGTGAGCTGGCAATAGAGATACAGTCCTCAAAAAATCATCAAAACTATAAATTACTACTTTATTTATAAAAGCCATATATTTATAGAAGTAATAAAAATTAAATCTTAAATTCTAATTTAGTTAAAAAGAAATGTTAGCTGACATATATTAAAACATCTTTCTTGCTGCAGATTTTTTGTAAATAATAATAATAATAACTTATTTTTCTTTGCAAATTCTGTGAAAAAATTGCGTCAACAAATTAAAACACACTTAATATTATGATCAAAGTTTATTTATTATTCATTATTGCCATTAGCATTATAAACAAAAAAAATATCTAGTTTGTAAGTAGTTATATGTTGAGAAAATAATCTATAAAAATATAATTTATATCACAATTTACAATGTCGTACAAAAAAATTTATGGAACAAGCTGTATGTTAAGTGTGTTAAGATTTATATAAACTGTTTTACAGTTATACAACCGAACGTAACATTATGATGCAACTTTAATCTTATCTTTAGATCGTAATGCTTTTGCTAAGCACGAGTATGATCAATCGATTTCTCAGAGCGGGTTATGTAAAGAAGTATTCATTACCGTCGTTGAGAATCATATTTGGCGGTGGTGCAATTCTCAAGCCGAAATCTCAAGAAGAATTGAGACGTCTTTTACCGCATGTCGAAATACTTCAAGCTTACGGTAAAAATCGTAGCAGAATAAAGTTAGGAACATGATATTTTTTCATTCAAAAAATCTAAAACAAAAGAATTTATTGTAACAAATTCTGTATTATTCATTCAATTTTTTAGGAATGACAGAAATAGGCGGAATGGCAGTGATGCAAAACCCGAATCATAAGAACGGGTCTTGCGGCACGGTAGTTTCAAATGTACAAGTAAAGATCGTGAACCCGAAAAGCGGAAAAGTTGTCGGACCGAATCAATCGGGAGAAATATGGATACGCTCGAAGAACATAATGAATGGTTATTACAAGAATCCTGAAGCGACAAACAGTACAATTGATAAAGACGGTAAGAAGATTCTTCTTCTCGCTATTAATATTATTAAAAACAATAGATTATTTACAT